TGAACAAAAACACCCAAGAAAAACAAAAAGTGTTGAATTTTAAGAGACCAGAACATAAATTATTTTTATTTAGAGAAAAATTGGGAGGCAATTACATGAACCAAGTCTTCAAAGCAGGAGACTCAAATTAAGTTTAACAAAACACAATAAAATTAGGAAATTTAAAAATAATTTTCTTAATATTCATATTTTGAGTAGAAACACATACATTTTAACAACAATATAAGTGGTTTCAAATGTTTTTGTGTGGTATTTATTAAAGCTTCCCTGATGGCTCAGATGGTAAAGAATCTGCCAGCAAAGCAAGTGACCCAGGTTTGATCCCTGGGTCAGGAAGATCCCCTGAGAAAGACATGGCTACCACCCCAGTATTCTTGCCTAGGAAACCCCATGGACAGAGAGTAGCCTGGTTGGGGGGCTACAGTCGTGGGGTCACAAAGAATTTGACACAATTGAATGAATATTTATTAAAAGAGATAAAATAGACATGTATACATTTAGTCTTCTAGAGATAAAGAAATGAGCAAAATTTATTAAAATAAAAGAGGTTCCATATTTAGTCAGATGAACCCAGGTTTGATCCCTGGGTCAGGAAGATCCCCTGAGAAAGACATGGCTACCACCCCAGTATTCTTGCCTAGGAAACCCCATGGACAGAGAGTAGCCTGGTTGGGGGGCTACAGTCGTGGGGTCACAAAGAGTTTGACACAATTGAATGAATATTTATTAAAAGAGATAAAATAGACATGTATACATTTAGTCTTCTAGAGATAAAGAAATGAGCAAAATTTATTAAAATAAAAGAGGTTCCATATTTAGTCAGATGAAATTTGAATTATTTCTAAGAAAATGGTTAAATAAGATGTTTGTTAGAAATACAACAGTTTTGATTTTTTAAAATTTCCTTTTCCTTACATTCTGGGAGTGATAAAAAAAAGATGGTGTGTGTGTAACTTTGTTTATAATGTTTCTTTTATATTCTATTAAAACTATATTATTGTTATGAAAATCACATAGGCAGCAAAGGCAAAACATTTCAAGTTTCTATAAAGTGCAATGCATGTTTGCTTAGTCCATGTGAAGCATTTGAAAGATGCTATAGTTTATCTGGTATTTTTTATAATATAACAAGTGCATTTTTCCTAAGTCAACCTTCATACAAAATGTGAAGAGTTCAACTTGTAGTACTATTATATTTTGAGAAATAAAACATAAGAGGCTCCTTCCTCATCTTGACTCAGTATTTTTAAAATCAACTTTGGGTTCTTAATTATTACCATTTAATTAAAGTACAAAATCACAAAGCAAATAGAGAGGTCAAAACAAATTTCTTAAGATGTATAAAAGTGAAGGTGAGAGGCGCACACCCCTCTCACACTCTGTGACACCCCCCCATGGCTGTAGTCCGCCAGGCTCCTCTGTCCATGGAATTCTCCAGGCAAGAGTACTAGAGCATGTAGCCATTCCCAACCCAAGGGGTCTTCCCAACCCAGGGTTTGAAACTGGGTCAATTGTATGCAACAGTTATAAAAAAGGGGGAGACTTGGGTTTTGATATCTCTGAGGTTAGGAAAATCCCGTTCAGGTCATAGGCATCAGAACTCACCATGTTCGCAATCCTTCTTTGACCTATTCAAAAACCCCTCAATAAAATGAACCGCTCCCTGTACCCCTCAAAAGTGTAATTGTTCAGTATTTATTACATAACTTTTAGGAAAAGATTTTTGGGATTGATGAGAGATCAAAGTCTTCAAAGCACATGTAAGGATGATTTTTTTTTTTTTTTTTTACAGATAGATAAGCATAAGGCAAGAAAGATCTATGAAGCAAAATGAGACTCTATATTTATGTGATCAGGGCTTAGATTACCTTTCCTTTACCAAAATATGAAAGTCATCTGTGAGACTACATACTTGGGCAGAGATTTCCAGGTCTTATGCGGAACTTTGTAACATCAAGAGAAGACACACAAATGTGAAACCCTCTGAACCCTGGGATGCACATGAAGAAACTATTATATGGCAACTGCAGGTCTAAATTAGAAGATATAGATGCATAAATATCCAGAAAGAATTTAAAAAGAGCATTAAAGCTATTTTTGCTTCCAGAAAAAATAGATCAGGATGGGAATTTTCAACCTAGTAGGGCATACAAAAGATTGATACGATTTTGATATATATTATTTGGTAGGAATTAGGTTTTATTTAAATTTCAGCAGAGAGAATTTCTAAGAATAGATGTATAAGTTATGAAATTCACAGTTGACCATATACATTAAATATTCATGAAATTATTTATCTTGACTCTATAATTTCAGTGTAGGTACACAAGTTTCATCAATTTTAAAACACATTGCAAAATTTAAAAATTGTAACTAAAAAAAGTTGTAATTATAACAATGATAAATGTTAATTAGACTTATTGTGTAGTTATTGCTATGTTGTATACCTAAAACCAATATAATTTATATATCAATCATGTATTGATAAAAAATGTAAGCATGTGTTTTCAAATATATGAAAATTATTTGATTGATAAGACACAATTTGAAACACTTTACAGATCCCAGAAATATATAGCAATAATATGCTGCCATTCTAAGTAAATCTTCATTGCATAATACTTCTGCCTCAAGAAACACCTAAATAAACTGTTGCTTACAGATGTAACTATATGTATTTTCACAGTCTTCATCCAGAGCACTTCCGCTTGGGCTATATATTATGCAGTTCTTTGGATTTACAGTGTGAAATAAAGGAACTCTGTAATGAAGAAGAAATTATTAGTATATGGGAAAAGGAATGATCAAATCCAAGTATAAACTCAAAAAGAACAGAAAAAGTTTTGATGCCAGAAACTTACAGATCTTGGGAGAGAGTAGAATTGTCCTCCCACAACCAGGCATGATGTTCTTCACTGTAAGAAAGTCCAATCCAGTAATATCTGGTACTGAACTTCATAAAATCCTGCTTGGAAAGAGAGACCAACACATTAACCTATTTCAAACCTGCTCTAGGAAACATGTACTTTTAAGAAAGTCAGTGTCCAGTATCAGATTCAGTTTTTCAATTCTATTAGGTTGGTACAAAAAAGTAATTGTGCTTTCAGACCATAAATGTTAAATCATTATAACTAAGCTCAAACACATCTTTGTTAATCAAAATAGGAACCATGACAATCAACACATTTTTGCCATTGATAAATATGTTTGTTTATTCCTGTAGCATAAAAATCCAGACTTTGGGATTTGATGAACTCTTGGAAAGCATTTTCTGCCTCCTATTGGTTGTGGAAGCATTTTCCCTGCAAAAACTCATGGAGATGCTTGAAGAAGTGATAGTCGATTGGCAAGAAATCAGGTGACTATGACAGATGAGGTAAAACTTTGTAGCCCAATTTGTTCAACTTTCGAAGTGTTTGTTTTTCAACCTGCAGTCAGGCATTTTCATAGAGAAGAATTGGGTCCTATTTGTTGGACTATGCCAGTTGCAGGCATTGCAGTTTTGGTGCATCTTATCAATTTGCTGAGCAGACTTCTCAGATGTAATGGTTTCACTCAGATTGTAATGGATTCAGAAAGCTGTAGTGGATCAGACGGGCAGCAAACCACCAAACAGTGACCATGACCTTTTGTTGGTCCAAGTTTGGCTTTGGGAAATGCTTTGGAGCTTCTTCTTGGTCCAACCACTGAGCTGGCCAATGCCAGTTGTATAAAATACACTTTTCGTCACATATCACAATCCACTTGAGAAATGGTCTGCTGTTGAATAGAATAAGAGAAGACGGCACTTCAAAATAATGATTTTTTTATTTGCTGTCAGTTCATGAGGCACCCACTTTTAGAGCTTTTACACATTTCTAATTTGCTTCAAATGCCAGATGATCACAGAATGGTTAATGCTGAGTTCTTGGGCAACTTCTTGTGTAGTTGTAAGAGGATCAGCTTTGATGATCCTCTCAATTGGTCATTGTCAACTTCCGATGGTAGGCTACTGCACTGCTCATCTTCAAGGCGCTTGTCTCCTTTGCAAAGCTTCTTGAACCACCGCCACACTGTACTTTTGTTAGCAGTTCCTGGGCCAAATGCATTGTTGATGTTGCAAGTTGTCTCCACTGCTTTATAACCCATTTTGAACTTGGACTTAAAAATTGCTTAAATTTGCTTTTTGTTTAACATAGTTTCTATAGCCTAAAATAAATATAAAATAAACAGCAAGTGATGTCACTAGCAAAAAAAATAAAGTGAGAAATGCATATTAAATGGTATATAACATAATCACATTTATTTAAGAATGTTTTCCAATATCCAACAGCAATTTTCAACAAGGCAAAACCACAATTACTTTTGCACCAAGCTAATACAAACTAAAATCATTTTTAACTTCTAATTTAGGAGGTGTAGTCAGTCACTTGCCTCTTGGTTCTCATTCATCAAATCCATTTCTGAGGAAAAAATACCACAGTCTCACTTCTTGAAGGAATGAAAAATGTCATAATGGGTTTTCATGAGTTTTCATGGAGCACTTCCTTCATAGGGGACCATCAGTCAAATCTGATCCCAAATCAACAGCACATTGAGGGATAAGTCTTAGCACAAGTTCTACAGGGAGCTAGAGAACTTTTACCAAAGAGCTAATTGTTTTATAATATTCTACATATACTTTCACATTACACCCAAGAGTGATAACAAACGCTATATAATTACAAAATAAATTAGAAATTTAATTAAAGAGCTAAAAATAAGTTATTTTTAGCTAAAATATATTATTTTTATTTCTACTTTGAATTCTTTCTAAAACTTTATCTGTATTTTATCTGTCAACACTCCTATAATGTAAGTCTTTGAGAAATTTTGGGTTGATTTTGTGACGGTTTCAAAGTATAGGATATTAGTTCAAATATAATCATCTACTTATTATCTGACTAAAGACTTGAATCAAAGTATTCAACTTACATAGATAATATATTTTCTTAAGTCAAAGAAAATGTAGAAAATCAGAATTAAATACTTGCCAGTTCATTTCTGGTTTGTATCTGAAGTAGACTGGAATTATGAGAAACACAAAAATCCCTACTGTCTTTCCATGTTTTTAATTCATTAGAAATGAAATAACAGTTGCATTGGTAGCCAATCCACTTTTCTTGGCAAGAATAGCAGCCAGATTCTAAGAGAAAAAATAAAACATGACTAGATGATGTTGGAGGTTCAATTTTTTGTTCAGTGTTATTTATTTTTCAAAAATCATTTGTTATTCATGTACATTACCGTACGTGAAATAGATCACCAGTCCAGTTTCAATGCATGAGAAAAGGCCCTCAGGGCTGGTACCCTGAGGGATGGGATGGGGAGGGAGGTGGGAGGGGTTTCCAGGATGGGGGACACATGTACACCTACGACTGATTCATGTGAATGTATGGCAATAAACCACTACAATATTGTAAAGTAATTAGCCTCAAATTAAAATAAATAAATTTTAAAAAAAGAAGGTTCCCACATGCCGCTTATGATGTAGCCAAAAATTATAAATAAATAAAAATTTAAAAATAAATCAGCAACCAAAAAAAAATCATTTGTTATTTATGAATCTTTTCTACAAATATCCTTTGAGAATTTACTGCATGCACCACAGTTCAGGGAATATTAATTTGAACAACTCAGACATGACCCTTTTTCCTCATGGAGATTATATTCTAGAGATAGGGATAGAATTATATAAATTTCAATCATTTATGAACTTTATTTAGTGATAATTTGGGTAAGTATACAAAGAAATTAAGTATCTTCAAATACAGTGTATGGAATGGGGAGGGAGAGAGGTTCAGGATGGGGGACACATGTACACCTATGACTGATTCATGTGAATGTATGGCAAAAAAACACTACAATATTGTAAAGTAATTAGCTTCAAATTAAAATAAATAAATAAATTTTTAAAAAAAGAAGGTTCCCACATGCCACTCATGATGTAGCCAAAAAATATAAATAAGTGAAAATTTAAAAATAAATAAATCAGCAACCAAAAAAATCATTTGTTATTTATGAATCTTTTCTACAAATATCCTTTGAGAATTTACTGCATGCACCACAGTTCAGGGAATATTAATTTGAACAATTCAGACATGACCCTTTTTCCTCATGGAGATTGATTATATTCTAGAGATAGGGGTAGAATTATATAAATTTCAATCATTTATGAACTATATTTAGTGATAATTTGGGTAAGTATACAAAGAAATTAAGTATCTTCAAATACAGTGTAGCAGATGGTAGGATGGGGGACAGTGGTAAGAACCTTTTTGAGAAAGCTACCCAAAGTTGATCTCTGCTGTGTAGTTAAAAGTAGACTATGCTGGCATTCTGTTTTGTCCTTTTCTTTGTCCATTTGTCTTTTACATCTATGCTAAAATTGTGACTGCTCTTATGCCTCGGGGTGAGTATTGCTTTTGATCAAAGACAACATTTACATAAATCACAGCAAAATGAAAGCAAATTTTTGGTAAAAAAAAAAAAAAAGAAAGAAAGAAAGAAAAAGTAAACTACATGAAAGAGATATGTAAAGAAGGAAATCATTTTAGCACATTTCCTGAGTCACAAAAGAATTCTGAAGACTTCCCTGGTGGAATAGTCTTTAAGACTTTGGGCTTTCAGTGCAAAGTTTCTGATCGCTGGTTGGGAAACTATGATGCCATATGCCACGTGGTGCAGTCAGAAGATAAAAAAAAAAAAAAAAAAGAATTCTGGATATTTTATCTTCAAAATGAAAATAAAAGAATAATTAGCTTGAAATTGGACCATTCAGTTTACTAGTGATAAAGTCCTCAGCAACAGTCAAATCTTTGTCAAATGAATGGTGCTGAAATTTTAGAATAGAACGGTGATTACCAGGGGATGGGATGTGGGGTAAATGGGTTTGTTGAAGCGTTCATGGGAATTCCTTGGTAATCCAGTGGTTAAGATTCCAAACTTTCACTGCCCGGACTCTGGTTCAATCCCTGGTCAAGAAACTGTGATCCCACAAGCGACATTTTGTGGTCGATACCAAAAAAAAAAAAAAAAATAATAGGTATACACTTCTCCAGTTAGAAAATGAATGAGTTCTGGGAATCTACTGTGCACCATTGTAACAAAGGTTAACAATACCATATTACTTACTTGTGAGTTGCCACAGGAGTTGTTCTTGAATGTTCTCACCATGAAGAGAATGATAGTTATGTGACATAATGGTGATGTTAGTGAGTGCTTTGAGATAATAATATTGCAATAATAAGTGTACCAAATCAGTACATTGTACACAAAACTTGTTGCTAAGTTGTGTCTGACTGTTTTGTGACCTCATGGACTGTAGCCCGCCAGGTTCCTCTGACCACTGGATTTCCCAGGCAAGAATACTGGAATGGGTTGCCATTTCCTTCTCCAAGACATCTTCCCCACCCAGGGATCGAACCCATGTCTCCAGCATTGTAGGGGGGATTCTTTACCACTGAGTCATTGCAGAAGCCCCACACATTAAATTTATGCAATGTCTTTTATCAATTGCATCTCAATAAAGTTGGAAAACTGCTCAGGGGAGAAAATGATANGACATCTTCCCCACCCAGGGATCGAACCCATGTCTCCAGCATTGTAGGGGGGATTCTTTACCACTGAGTCATTGCAGAAGCCCCACACATTAAATTTATGCAATGTCTTTTATCAATTGCATCTCAATAAAGTTGGAAAACTGCTCAGGGGAGAAAATGATACAAGTGAAGAGATATATGAGCACAGAAGACAACTTGGAGAGCATCTGAGTATAAAAATACATTTAAAAACTTGGACTTTTGTTGGGTGATAGGGTGAGAAACCAGAGTACAGTGGGTTGAAAAGCAAATAAAAGATCTTCTGTTTTTAAAAAAAAAAAAATCTAGGACTTTGAGCTGACTTTCACTGGTTAAGTAAAGTTTAGAATTGCATTAATCTCCATATTACTTTCTAAATTATGGAAGAAGCAGAGGTAAAGGTAAACAGATATAAAAGTAAATGTTATCAACAAACATAAGCAGGTAATTAGAATTAGCTAGACTATTTACTGCAACTTATTTTTTGCCATTTTTCTTTGCAATTTATTTTTGTTAATTATAATACTTACTGTAATTTTTGTGTTTATTTTTACATGATCACTCACATTGGAAAATATATCATTTCAATATAATAATTTTCTTATTATTTAATTATATAAATAGTATATAATGTATTTAATACATTTCTTATTCATACATTTAATACATGTGTTTAATACATTCTTAAATGAACAATGAAATGAACTATCCTACAATTGCCACATCAATTGGTATGACTGTAATATTCCATTAAACTTCTGTGTGAGAAAACCAAGAAACTGTTTATTTCCTTCTCTACCAACACAAAAATTTTCCAAAGTGTGAAACCAACCTTCACCGAGTTCTGTGGAGGGTCCAAGCTGAACACTTTGTTTAGTAAGTGCTGTAAGAAATGATAAGAAATTTACTTTGTCAGCTAAACACTTACGAAATAACAAAATATTGTTGCTGTTCAGTCACTAAGTCCGTGTCTGACTCTTTTTGACCCCATGGACTACAGCATATCAGGCTCCTCTGTCCTCCACTCTGTCTGGGAGTTTGCTCAAATTCATGTCCATTGAGTCAGTGATGCTATCTAACCCTCTTATCCTCTGCCACCCCCTTCTCCTTTTCCCTTCAATCTTTTCCAGCATCAGGATCTTTTACATGTTAGCAAAATGAAACTTTTCTTGTAAAATAGCTTCATCACAATTTTGATTTTTTTTATAAAGCCTTGACTATAAAAACTTACAATTTTTCAACAAAACTCCCAAAGCTGCCATCAACAAAAGGCATATTACTCCTAAAACTCCAGAAATCAACCTCCATGGAGTGGTCTGAAAACCTGTAAAGAAAGAAAGATAGGGTAATGATTTAAAGAAAAAAACATGGGAATTCTTAAAAGCAGAAACCAGTGAAAGGATCCAAAAGGTTCTTTGGCTTGATAACCCAATCATTTTGCCAGAAAAATGCTGGAAAATGAAGATATTCCATTCAGAACTCCACTTGTTACCAACATTTTTATATAATGTACTTTATTCTTCAGTGAGATTATCCATACATTTTCCTCTTCATCCTCTCTATCTCAGTATTTATCTTTAATTTTTTAATTTGGCAAAGAAGCTTAGAGATCTGTAGTAAAAAGAGATCAACAGGCCCCAAGTTCTGTTTAATGGGCTGATATAACGAATTTATTTTCACAAAAACAACAGCAACAAAATCATAAGATAGAATGTATGACTCCCATTAGGTAGATGAGAAAACTTACTGTCCATTAACAAGGCTGTTTTTCTCAAGGTTCAAAGCTATTAATTATCCAAGTCAGAGTTCGAATGAAAGCTTTTCTAGACCCAGAACCTTTCATTTAACATATTCTATCATTATCACGAAACTATTTCAATACTTGGGTGTGTTCAGTTCAGTTCAGTCGCTCGGTTGTGTCTGACTCTTTCAGACCCCATGGATTACAGCATCCCAGGCTTCCCTTGGGAGCATGCCTGTCTGCTAATCTCAACATATTCACTGCTCTAAGAAATGTCAAGCTGCTGATAGCTTTGTAGAGGCTGTACCAGAAAGAGAAGACATGGGAGTACTCTGGACCTGCTGTGGTGAGAGGCTCCACGATCAACCTACAGGTAGTACCTTGAGAGCTTGGCTTTATTTCCACAGTATATTAACTTATGACATAAACATTCATTTTTACGGGAACCATTTTTCACATATACTACATTTTCTCATGCCAAAAATTGCTTACTTACAGACCTTTTCCCTAAAATAATCTAGCATCAGGAGATTCTGCATTAACATGAGTGCACCCCAAAGTGTGATGTCATGAATAACAGTGCAATATGTCAAAATGTTAATCTGGATGATTCGGGGATGTCATAACACAAATGGTGAATTTAAAAAAGCGCTTTCAAGCATCGAGTTGTTAACATTTAACATTTTCTATTTATGCCCAAGCTAGAATTATATTGTTTACATTTTTTCCTCATAAATTCAGATCCCAATCAGAATTTAGAGCTATCCTTGTCAGAATCGACTCTTTAAATCTGTTGACAAAGCTTCACAAAGTCATTGCTAAGTTACAGAATGAAGAATCAGAAAAGTGAAATTGAAGTAAAAAGTGCTGAAACATGGGAAGCCTAAAACTGCATCCTCCTTATTAAAGCATTCCCTGAAATCAGCCATGCTCATGAGATATCTTTCCCAGCTATTTTCATTTTTTTCATGTTATGACTTGGGATGCACATACCTGCCATGTGAGATGTTGTCCAATATCAGTGAAAGTAAGAGACGATGGATGCTGGTTCAAAGAAATGAGATTAGATCTAGAAGCTAAGCTGGAGGTTAAGGAACCGGAAAGTTGTGAAGAAATCCTTTAAAATAAGAAAAACTGTGTATCAAAGTGTGTTCAGTTCTTCTGCCGATGAGACATGGATGTGTAGTATGAAAAGAGACAGTAAAATCATTGTCTTCTAAAATGCTTCAGGAACCACAATACAGGAAATTCTCACGGAACTTGCATAATGTAGACCCTACTTTCAAGCATCGAGTTGTTAACATTTAACATTTTCTATTTATGCCCAAGCTAGAATTATATTGTTTACATTTTTTCCTCATAAATTCAGATCCCAATCAGAATTTAGAGCTATCCTTGTCAGAATCGACTCTTTAAATCTGTTGACAAAGCTTCACAAAGTCATTGCTAAGTTACAGAATGAAGAATCAGAAAAGTGAAATTGAAGTAAAAAGTGCTGAAACATGGGAAGCCTAAAACTGCATCCTCCTTATTAAAGCATTCCCTGAAATCAGCCATGCTCATGAGATATCTTTCCCAGCTATTTTCATTTTTTTCATCTTATGACTTGGGATGCACATACCTGCCATGTGAGATGTTGTCCAATATCAGTGAAGGTAAGAGACGATGGATGCTGGTTCAAAGAAATGAGATTAGATCTAGAAGCTAAGCTGGATGCTAAGGAACCGGAAAGTTGTGAAGAAATCCTTTAAAATAAGAAAAACTGTGTATCAAAGTGTGTTCAGTTCTTCTGCCGATGAGACATGGATGTGTAGTATGAAAAGAGACAGTAAAATCATTGTCTTCTAAAATGCTTCAGGAACCACAATACAGGAAATTCTCACGGAACTTGCATAATGTAGACCCTCTGACTATCACAAAATAAAGTGAGAGGAAAAAACTTTTTCTAATGTTTGAACATCAAAGTCATCTAAAAAAATTACTTGGAAAATGGAATATATGGGCAAACCAAAGGTAAATTTACTTAGTGTAAAAAAATTGACACTGAATTTTCCTTTTTTAATAAGGAGAAATATTTATTATTTGCTTTGTGTCAAATATAGATTAAGTCACGAGGGATATATTAGCTTATTTTTATCCCTGGATATGACTCAATAATAAAGATAAAGAAATATGTTTGTTTTACCAATGAGAAAAGTAAGGTACAGTAAAGCTAAAGTACTAAACCAAGTTTACTTACGTTTGAAACCCTGGTAGTTTTTCTCTAGAGCACGCATGACCTGTATTTCAAATCAACCCTATCTCTCTGGGTCTATAAGTTGTGTTGATTTTCATTTATTATTTTTAGTACAGAGTGGTGGGAATTTTTCATCTCTCATTCTGTGCTTCTGATCTCTGCCACTTTAACCCAGGTATGGAAGGCAAAGATATAAAAGGTAGAATCAGAAGACTTCCCATGATTGCCCTATAACACATACACACACACACACATACACCCACAAATATACCCTACGACTGCCTCAGCTGGTCTAAGCCTACACACTTAGTGCTTCATTGATACTAGCATTGAAAGTTTCTTTTAATACTGGACTCTTTATTTTTACTAATATATTAATTATTATAATCATTTATTGTGTATCTAATTCAGATAAGAAACTGATAATTCAAATCACATATTTTTGTCCTCAGAAGCATAACCTTAATGGTAGGAATTTCAGATGGGGGCAGATAGGCAAATTAAGAGCCAATAACAGAGACCTTGATCTACGGTTAAGCGTCTGGAAATGTAATCGACCGTTCATCCACATACAAAATAAATTCTCAAGTTATTTTGTTATTTATGTTGTTTATTTTTAAGCATTATAATATTACAATATTACATAAAGTGAATCCCAGTCCCTGCAGCCCCATGACACTAAAATTCATATATTTACTTTTGTTAATGCAACTTTGGGCACCTTGCATTTTGAATATGTGATGTCAGAGTCAACATTCAGCCTCATGCTCTGAAACAATTTTCTATTATGGTAAGAGAATAATCACATGACTCCTCTTTCTGTTTTTTTGCCTATTCATTTACAGAGTATAAATTACCATCAAACTGCATTCATCATAGGAGCTGTCAGAACATAAATGCTTAAGGCAACACTTCCTTCTCAAATTACTAGCAGTTTCATCTCAAGATGTCTGAATTCAATGAAACTTTGTGGAGAAAGCACTAAGTCCAATAGTGTAGAGTCAGTACAGGTTTTGAATGTACCCATAGAAAGATCTTTTCTCTTAAAATTATTGACTCTAAGATAATTCTATATGTTATTTCAGAGATGGGAAAATATATCATTTTAAAATGGACAATAGAAAAGAGTTAAAATTGTTACAATTCAGCTTAAGTTGTTGAATCAGCAATGGACGAGATTGAAATTTTACCCTATATTAAAGCTAGATATGGGCTTCCCTTGTGGCTCAACTGGTAAAGAATCTGCCTGCAATGTGGGAGACCTGGGTTCGATCCCTGGGTTGGGAAGATCCCCTGGAGAAGGGAAAGGCTACCAACTCCAGTATTCTGGCCTAGAGAATTCCATGGACTGTATAGACATTAGAATTATGATTGCCTTTTTATCTGTATGATTGCCTCTTTTATCTTTAATCACCTAAAGTGCAAAACATGAACCTAATCTGTTTTTGACGTATCACCAGGTAAAAATATTAAATACATACATTTTAGTCATGATTATGATCATTTCATTTTCACAGATATATGGGTGTCTTTATTTTAATGTTTCATAGTGATCTAGTTTTATTCATTGCAAATTTTCCTAAGAGCTTTTTTCTTTAATTTTTATTTGCAGGACAATTGCTTTATAATGTTGTCCTAAGAGTTTTATATACTTTTTCTGAAAACTTAGCTTTTATGTTATTTGTATAGTTTTTTAAGTCACCTTATTTCAGTTTTATGATGAGCATTTTATTTATTTAAATATTTATCTATTAATTTGGCTGCAACTGATTTTAGTTGTAGTTTGTGGGATTGTAGTATGTGGGGTCTTCCATCTTTGTTGATGCATTTGTGATCTAATTCCCTGATCAAGTGTCGAACCCAGGCACCCTGAATTGGAACTTGGAGTCTTACTCACTTGACCACCAGGGAAGTCCCTATAATGAGTATTTTAGAGTATAAGCAATAACCAGATAATTTACTTAAAATTCCATTCAATGTCTAACAATCAGATTAAGTGTTCAACTTAATTGTGTAGAATATCTCAATGTCTATCAAAGAAAGTGATACAATACCTGCCTTGAGAAAATATTGATTCATATCTACTTTCTAACTGAAATACATGGGAATTCTGATGATCTGCAGATGAGATAACACCTGAATCTTCCCAATCCACGCTGGAACACAAATATTTCACAGAGGAGGAATTAACAAAATTGAAATGAAGAAAGAAATCATAATAAGATTAAAATTTGAGTATAGTCTTGTAGGATAAATAGACTTGGAAATGTGGAAGTGTGGTTACTATAAAGTGAGAAATAGTTAATAGAGCTGCCTCATATCAAAACCTAAATAAGACAGAAAAGATTTCAACATATTTTCTATTCTTATCTTTTTTAAAACAAAAGATGATATTCATACTGAAAAGTAATAAAATCATAAAGTTTATTACTTATTAGAGGTAACACCCTTGTAACTACCACATCAGTCAAGAAAAAGAACATTTCCAGGATGTTCAAGGTTTTTGCTCATTTAACTTTCTAATTTCTACCCCCTTTCTCCTTCCAAATATCTCCACCACCTTGACCTCTAACACTGCAGTTTAGTTTTTCTTGTTTTTAAAATGTGTATAACCAGAATAATATAAAATTTTTGGTGTCTAGTTTATTTTGGTCATGTCCTTGTGAGAGTGATCCAAGAATTCCTCCCCATCTTATTGACACTAACTAAACTAGATGCTTGGGCTTCTCTGGTAGCTATGCTGGTAAAGAATCTGCCTGCAATGCAGGAGACCCCAGTTTGATTCCTGGGTCGGGAAGATTCTCTGTAGAAGGGATAGGCTACCAACTCCAGGATTCTCAGACTCCCCTGGTGGCTCAAATGGTAAAGAATCTGCTTGCATGCAGGAGACCTGGCTTTGATTCCTGGGTTGGGAAGATCCCCTGGAGGAGGGCATGGCAACCCACTCCAGTATGCTTGCCTAGAGAATCCCCATGGACAGAGGAGCCTGGTGGGCTACAGCCCATAAGGTTGCAAAGAGTCAGACACAGCTGAAGTTACCAAGCATTCATGCTCGCAAGTTAGATGCACATTACTACTGTGGCCCACAGATAAGATGTATGGATTGACTGAAATCCATGGAGGCCCAGTTGTGATACAGAATCCACTTGGATACTGAGGTGGAGTCAACTCTACCCAACACAAAATGGCTAGCAATGATGATCTATAGGAAACTTTAAAGTGCTGAACTTCTAGAATGAACTTTAGGAAAGTAGTGATAACTATCAATAATGTTTCATGTTTGTCTTTGCTTTGTTTTGCTATTTTCTCAAGTTTATTCTTTCTGAATGAATCTTCCACTGATCTACATTTACAAGTTTATTTTGAAGCACAGTGAAAGGATGAGAATGATCTTTTTGTGTACCTATTGTAATCAACTAAAGTACGTATTTAGGAGGGCTGTGTTAGAAATCTTCAAGTCTAAATTCAGCAAGAAAGAATGTTTATAATAGAGGCACAATGAGTTCCCTGAACTTTGATCTGTAAATATTGAGCACATCCACTATCTCTGAATTTACTGCTTCTGATGTGGAAGGAACCTCTTGTTAAGAATATAGCAGAATTTGCTTTAGTGAAAGAGTTATTAATAGTAGTGTAGCTGAGGTATCAGGAGGACAGGAAAGTGAAGATAGTTAGTGTTAACACCAAGGAAATAAGCATACTGACTTCTGTTAACTCTCTTTTTTCTTTCTACTTTTTATTTTGAAATTAACATAAATTGACAGGAAAAATACACAGTACAAGGATCTCCCTTGTAATAACTTACATAACTAGAGCACAACATCAAAACCAAGATACTAACATTAGTTGAATCGATAGCTCTTATTCAGATTTCACATGCATATGTGTGTGTGTATATATATATCCATATATATACAAATGTATGTGTGTGCTCA